TATATATATTCAAATAATTAGCAGCCCATTCGCTCACGACAAAAACACTAACAAACTTAATACTGATAATAGTTATAAAAAAAACATCATATGTAAAAAATTCCAAGTTTTCTATTAAAATTATAACTATCATCAGTGTTAAGTTTGTTAGTGTTGCTGTTCTGATCTGATTTAATGAATAACTTCATGACACACAAGTGTCAAAACATATAATTGATAAACAATGTTTTCCTCTAACCTTCTTTTAAATTTGATGAATGGGCTATTAATTATTTTGAATATGTTTCAACGTCGGAAAAATAATTAGTTTATATACATATGTGAATTTATTAATTTCAAATATATCATTATTTTGTATGTTTATGTACACAGCACCTGCAGAGATAATTTTAGATGAAGATCTTCAGACGAAAATGACATAGTATTGTTTTTAGTTTGAACTAAAAATACGAAATTTATTAATTGTTCAAGAGCGAAGCTTGTAAACTCGAGCATGTTATATATAAAATTTTTATTAATTATTTCAGTATTTGTAATTGAGTTTTAAGACTACTGAAATGAATTCTGATTACAAACTGACAGTTTGAAAATGATGCATTAAAAATGTTAGATTATATAAAAATATTAGATTTAATATACAAGAGTATTTTATATTATAGTGAAACCTATTTTAAAAGTATAGGTTATAATTTGTTTCATTGCTCTTGCATTATTTAGCAAGTAGATACTGAGAACTTGTAGGCTTTATAAATGAATTTATATGTGAATACTTATTGAATATAAGTTTGTGATTTTGAGTAAGTTACTATAATTTTAGTTCTCATACTTGAACTGTACTGCATAAAACTGTATATTAATATTGAAAAAACACATGTATCAAAACATGCTTTAATGTGTAAATCACATTTTGTGATTTTGGAAGTGTTCACTTCCATCATACTTGTTCGAATAGGATTTGTGAAATGAAATGAAATATATTAAGTTATTTATAATAAATCACTTTATATGAACAATTGAGTATGTATTGGCTAAATGTGAACTGTGGTCATTTATTCATTTAAGTAATTTTTTTTTTTTTTTAATCATTTATTTAAATGAATAATTTGAAAAGTATTTTTATTTGCATTTTGTTACAGTTGCAATGAACGATAATGAGTGTGATCTATATATGAATACAGATATGGGAGATCTTTCCAAATCTGTGTTGACTTCTAATAGTGATAAAGAAAGCAATCATTTCAGTAATTATGTGACGATCAAAAATGAATATGACCAACCTACTGTTCCTTTTGAGGCGATTGAACCTGCTAGAAAAGTAGTTAAAGTTGATCTTGTGGGAATAAAGAATTTTGCTTCCCTCCTATGCTTATGGAAGTGAACGTCACTGAGCAAACTATCGACAAAATCTTAATCCTATTAAAAATGAAGAAATGAATGTAACTGACCAAGCGATTGCATGTAATCCGAATCCTATTAAAATTAAGATCGAAAATGAGGATATCAATGTTATTGAGCAACCAATGGAAAGTACAAATAATCCTATTAAAGAGAGGATAAATGTTACTGAGCAACCTGCTGATGAGAGTAACCTTAATCCCATTGAAATTGAGATAAAAAATGATGATACAATTGATGTTAATGAGCTAGCTATTGAAAGTGATCTCAGTTTCCTTAGAGTTGATATTAAAATGAGGAATCAACTGCTAATGCTGAGCTAAATATTGAGAGTAATCTCAATTCAATTAAAATTCTGATTAAAACGGGGGAACAATTGTTACAGAGCAGCAACCTATTGAAAATAATAACAATCCCATTGAAATTGAGATCAAAGATGAGAATACAACTGTTACTAAGTTAGCTATTAAAAGTACTCTCAATCCAATGAAAATTGACATTAAAATTGAGAAAACAAACATTACTGAGCTACCTATTGAAGGTCTCAATTCCATTAAAATTGATATTCAAGTTGAGACAAAAAATGTGAATGAGCAACCCGTTGTTAGTAATCAAGGGAATTCCATTAAAATTGAGACAGCAAATGGTAATGAGCTAGCCTTTGTAAGTAATCGAGGGAATCCCATTAAAATTGAGACAGCAAATGGTAATGAGCCAGCCTTTGTAAGTAATCAAGGGAATCCCATTAAAATTGAGACAGCAAATGGTAATGAGCCAGCCTTTGTAAGTAATCAAGGGAATCCCATTAAAATTGAGACCGCAAATGGTAATGAGCCAGCCTTTGTAAGTAATCAAGGGAATCCCATAAAATTGAGACAGCAAATGGTAATGAGCCAGCCTTTGTAAGTAATCAAGGGAATCCCATTAAAATTGAGACAGCAAATGGTAATGAGCCAGCCTTTGTAAGTAATCAAGGGAATCCCATTAAAATTGAGACAGCAAATGGTAATGAGCCAGCCTTTGTAAGTAATCAAGGGAATCCCATTAAAATTGAGACAGCAAATGGTAATGAGCCAGCCTTTGTAAGTAATCAAGGGAATCCCATTAAAATTGAGACAGCAAATGGTAATGAGCCAGCCTTTGTAAGTAATCAAGGGAATCCCATTAAAATTGAGACAGCAAATGGTAATGAGCCAGCCTTTGTAAGTAATCAAGGGAATCCCATTAAAATTGAGACAGCAAATGGTAATGAGCCAGCCTTTGTAAGTAATCAAGGGAATCCCATTAAAATTGAGACAGCAAATGGTAATGAGCCAGCCTTTGTAAGTAATCAAGGGAATCCCATTAAAATTGAGACAGCAAATGGTAATGAGCCAGCCTTTGTAAGTAATCAAGGGAATCCCATTAAAATTGAGACAGCAAATGGTAATGAGCCAGCCTTTGTAAGTAATCAAGGGAATCCCATTAAAATTGAGACAGCAAATGGTAATGAGCCAGCCTTTGTAAGTAATCAAGGGAATCCCATTAAAATTGAGACAGCAAATGGTAATGAGCCAGCCTTTGTAAGTAATCAAGGGAATCCCATTAAAATTGAGACAGCAAATGGTAATGAGCCAGCCTTTGTAAGTAATCAAGGGAATCCCATTAAAATTGAGACAGCAAATGGTAATGAGCCAGCCTTTGTAAGTAATCAAGGGAATCCCATTAAAATTGAGACAGCAAATGGTAATGAGCCAGCCTTTGTAAGTAATCAAGGGAATCCCATTAAAATTGAGACAGCAAATGGTAATGAGCCAGTCTTTGTAAGTAATCAAGGGAATCCCATTAAAATTGAGACAGCAAATGGTAATGAGCTAGCCTTTGTAAGTAATCAAGGGAATCCCATTAAAATTGAGACAGCAAATGATAATGAGCCAGCCTTTGTAAGTAATCAAGGGAATCCCATTAAAATTGAGGTACCCAATAATGCAGTTGTTTCGGATATTGACTCTATAAGTGAGAATTCTAATATGGAGTTTGAACAGATATCAGAAAGCATAAATGACAATAATTATAACAGTGAAGAAGCTAATGAATTAGATGAAATTATTGCGAGACAACCTGTTGTTTTCCTGAATGACCCAAGCATTAACCAAGAAGAGTTGTTCGACAATTTTTATGCACAAGTTATTAATTTTTTGTAAATGATTATTACATATTGTATTTGAAATTAAATTGAGATGATTGATTGTCGTAAAACAGTGGATATGCAGTGAGTTTATAAAATAGTTAAATTTATGTGATGTGAAAGATTTCTTGCCATTGTAAGTGACTGTTTGTGATTGTTATTATACCAAACGTGCACTTTCATTAATGTAATAAAACAGTGAGGTGCATAATGTATGATGAAATAATTAAATTGTAAAATGTGTAAATTTATGAGTGAAAGAATAATAGTATGACATTGTAAGTGACTGTCACTGAAATATATTATAAATAAAGTGACAGATAATATATTTTCGACAATCAAATGTGTGAAATGTTTGTGATTGTTATTTTGTATTAAATAGTGATATTATTCTGGTGATACTATATTGTGTATCATAATATAATGGATATGTAATGTTAATAAACGTTATTTAAAATATTCTTTATTAAAGTGGCATTAAATTCTGGTGTTTGTGATTCAATCATATTATGTGAAGCTGCCAAATAAAATTATTACTAATGTATTTCAGCGGAACAAGGTAATTTCGAAAATTGAAATTGGTAAGGTTACTTTTTCATACTGGACGGAATCTTCTGTTAATTACTTTTAGTAACTTAAATATGATTTTTTTTTATCTTTCGAAGGTTTATGTACTAGTTTATAAGGCCAAATATAGATAAAATTAGTGGTGTATGGTATCGTGCCTTAAGGCAAATTGCTGGAACTTTCCGTACCAAAATTTGAATTTTTAAAAAAGATTCAATTTTCTGAAATTGAAAAAAATGACTTTTTTGAAAAAAATGACCTTTTTAAATTTCTTTTACTAGATTTTTATTTTGTCAATACAAGTAAAATGTTTTTTGAATTAATAATTTTTGGCAAAGCTAGGGCCAGCTCTTTTTAAGATACAGAGCTAAATGTACCAAAAAATGGCAGTTTTTGTGAGAACTAAGCATCCGATTTGAATGATTCAAAACACTTTCTTACAAAAAAAAAATGTTTTGTATATCGAAAATAATTCAGATTTTAATTTTAGTTCTGGTTAAAGTTCGAAAGCTCACTTGTAATAAATTTTAATTTCGCAATTCAGTTTATGACAATACGTCCCGGTTTGGCCGGGACAGTCCCGGATTTTCACCTTGTGTTCCGGGTTTTCATAAAAGCAATATAAGATTACATTTTTTTGTCCCGGATTGTTCCGGGTTTTTAAAAAGTTTAGGTATGAACTATATTTTTGCAATTACACTATAATCAAATCACAAATATCCATCGAATGTCTGAAAACGATGTAGATAACGAGTATGCTTTATATGAAACAAAAATAATATGGGAAAAATTTTTGAAAGCAAAATACCAAAGTGTTAAAATAGAATCTCACATTGATAATTTCGGACTTCTCTTCTCAATTTTATGAAAGTTAGCAATTTTTGTCTTCCATTTTCAATTTTTCGAAAACTACCAAGTTGCCGTCCCGGTTTTGACCTACAAAAATATGGGCTTAGTTTATATAATTTTCATAATTGATAGACAATGTTACAGTATTCATAATAGTCTATTTGAAAGCATTTAATATTCCTCGAACATTTTGTTGCGGTACGGTAAGTTCCAGCAATTTGTCTTTAGGCACGATGCCATGAATATCGTAAGTGATGCCATTAGTTATTAACTTCCCGTAGGGCAAGTTATACTAATCGCAAAAAAATCGGAAATGAAAATTTTTATATATCTTTACGTTTCAAAGGTTTCTAAATATTTTGGCATACCTTAAAAAAAATGGATGTATGTGTGTGTGCGTGTGTGTGTGCGGATACAAATTTTCGTCGACGATTTCGGGAACACTGATCAACCGATTTAAATAATTCAAAAAACATTCGATTCGTACTGATGAGGAGACGTGCTGATTAGTTTTTGACGAAGGCAGGTCTAGCGGTTCCGAAGATACGGGGCAAAAAGTGCCAAAAATGGTAACTCAGTTTTTACGAGAACGTAGCGTCCGATTTTAATAATTTTACTTGTATTGACAAGATAAAGAACTGATCAAATTTTCATGAAGGTAGGTCTAGCGGTTTCGGAGATCTGATAAAAAAAAAAGTAAAAAAATAATGCCATTTGGCGGTCAAAAGTGATCATTAGACATATGCACATCAAATTATCAGATATTTTATAGAGATTTTAACAATAAGTATAAATTTTGTTTACATTCCTATGGGTTTCGTACCAATGTTCATCCGTTACACGGCGACGCGGCGCTTACGCGCTTTGACATCTCGTCTCTATGCAGTTAAAGCAGTACGATTGCTTTGAAAAAAAGTTTAGAATTTCCAAAATATATCAAAATATTTTTTTTTCAAAAAAAAGTAATTTTTGTCAAATTTATAGTTTCTAAAAATCTAATTTTTTCGAAGTAAAATATTTTCAAAAATGTTAATCGTTTTTAAAAAAATAATAATTTTTGGTACAGGAAGTTTCAGCAATTTGCCTTAAGGCACGATGCCATGCGCCCACTAGTTTGTTATATCTTTTAGTAATCTTGTAATTTTTTTGAACTTTGTAATATATATATACAGTGCTGGATTTACAGTAGGGGCAATCGGGGCTACTGCCCAGGGCGGCAAATTTTGGGGGGCGGCAAAGTTTGGATAGTGAGAAAAAAATTCTATACAATATAATCAACTTTTTTAACAACATTTTTTATTTCAAGAAATATAATTAACAAAACATAATACGATTGCAATGCAAAATTTTGGTTGAAATAAATGTTAACTAAATTTTATTATTTTGCCTAGCTTCCCTCTCCGAACGTAAATTATCAAATTGGTTATTAAGTTATCAAATTTGGCAATTAGGCTAATATAAAGATCCGTAAACAAGGTGAAAGTTTAAGAAAAATTTGTTTTTGAGTTCTCGAGACCTCTTAAAATGACGTATCTGTGCACTTCCAAGCTTATATCGTCGAAAAAAAAAATTTAAACTAGTGACTCATGGCATTTTTCCTTAAGACAAATTACTGAAACATCCCTTACTGAAAATTACATTTTATAAAGAGTTTTAAATTTTATTGAAAAATGAAAAAAAGACTTCTAAAACACATTTTTTGTATTTTGAAATTTTTCGAAAATTACGAACTTTTTACTAAGCAATCGCGCTACGTAGCTGTTTCAGAGAAGAAATATCGAAACTCAATTACCATTTTTCGTAATTGCCTGTACCAAAAGCTAATCGGCACGTCTCCCCATCAATACAAATCTAATATTTTTTAATTATTCAAGTCGATTTCGAGAACACAGATCAACCGATTTATGATTCAATTTCTATTGATAAGGAGACGTGCAATTAGTTATTGGTCAAGGCAGGTCCAACTGTTTTGAAGATACGGGCCAAAATGCCAAAAATAATAATTGAGTTTTTGAGAAAAAAGCGACCAATAACATTAAAAAAAAATTACACAATAAATAACTGCTTAAATTTATGGGGGGCAGGTTTAGGTTCAATAAAAAAATTTGAAAAAGAAACATTTGGCGGACAAAAGTGATCATAAGACATAGACACATTAAATTATCAGATATTTTAAAGATATTATAATAATAAGTATACATTTTGTTTACATTATATAAGTTCTGTAACATTGTTTATCCGTTAGACTGCGACGCGGCGCTTACGCGCTTCTATATTTTATCCCTCGCAGCTGAAGCAGCGCGATTGCTTTAAAAAAAAGTTCGAAAATTCGTAAAATTTCAGGAATGGGGCGGCATTTTTGTCAGTGCCCCGGGGCGCCAAATTTCTAAATCCGGCCCTGTATATATATATATATATATATATATATATATATATATACACCTAAGTCTGTTTTTACACGGTCTTTTTGTACACGGTTTTGATATAACACGGTTTGAAAATTGAATATTTCTAATTATTTTACACGAATTTATTCCATTTAGCACGATTTGAAATTTTATGTACCTAATTTTTTTTTGTCAAATTAAATTTTTGCGAAGTATGTCCATATCACAAAAAAGTATTTATGAAAGAAAAAAGTCTGAAACCATCGATAGTATCGACAGTTTGCGAACACTAGCTTAAAGATTTAAGTTTTTTTTTTTTTTTTTTTTTTTTTTTTTTTTTATATTTCTTTATTTACAGCAATCAGAATACAAGGTATCCTATAAGCTATTGTGATAAATTTAACAAATACACACACATGCATACGTACATGCACACAAACATACTCACACGCACGTTAACAAAAAAGAAATTATATAATAGTAACCACTTCAGCAAGTGGTATACTAGTTGGCTCAGGTCCTTCGGCCGTTTACTGGGAAAACTACGTATTTTAAGATCTAATGTTATGAAATTATTATATACACTAACATACGTACATACATACGCACAGACATTCACACACACACTCTCTCAATAAAAGATTATAAATATTTAATAGAGGTCACTTCATCAAGTAATGTTCTGCTTAAATCAAATCACTCGGCCATTTCTTCTTTAATCTCCTGATGTTTGGAGTTGCTAACAGTGGCGCCATTAGTGTGTTTGGATGGTTTTCGAGCTTCCGGTGATGTTTTTCACTGATTGATTTAATGACATCATTAACGAACTGTATATTTAGATCGTTATGGATCAAAAGATTTAAGTGAATTCCCCTTTAGCGCGTACAAACAATTTTTACTGGTCAAAGCAAATGTGAATAGCACTAATTTAATTCTTGTTCTTAAAAATTCTTGTTTTTCACCAATTTTAATAGGTTTTAGAGATTAGGAACAAATCACCCATTTTTGTATAAGATCAATGTCTTTTTTTACACGTTTTTTTTTTTACACGGATTCTTCTGGAACCAATCTCCGTGTAAAAACAGACTTAGGTGTATATATATCTGTGTGTGTGTACAGTGATGAAATTTTAAACTACTCTCAATCTCCTCGGTGACATCACTTACGATATTCATCTTCAAAGCATGCCACCTTTCTTGTTTTTTTTTTCCCT